TCCCCGCGCGCTAAACTCCGGTGCAGGTGACGGCTGCCCCCGCGGGAGAGGCGAGGGGAGCGGAAATTCGCCACCGCCCCCCGCCCGGGTCCCGGAATTAAAGGCGCAGCGCGGTGCCGTTGCTAGGTGGGTGTGCTCCCTAGGGATGCGGCCGTGCGTGGTGAGGCTTGGGTGTTTTTCCCTTTAAGCAATATCTAACTACCACAAAAGAAAACCGGTCATTTTTTGAAAGACCGCCAATATCGAGTGTTTGACTGCATTTCCTGCGAGAGAACAGCTTCAGGCAATTCACAGCAGAAACAATTCTCTCTGCGTGGCAGTGTATGTTACGCAAGTTACGTATTAAAGAACAGACGCGTTTAAAAGCAATTTTTTCATGATAAAATAATATTTTCACTGGGGTTTTGGGGAATAAAACATCGGGAAAACATAAAGGAGGAAAATCACTTGAAGTCACCGGTAACATTTAAAAATATCCCCACCAGGTACTTGTATATACATTTACTTTAAATGTTTTTGTTGTCCTTGTTCTTCTGGTTAGGGGAATCGAACTCAGGACTTTTTGCTTGCAAGGCAGATGGGGTACCACTGAGCTAAATCCTGGTCAATATACATGTGTTTTAAAAAATAGAGCAGGGTTGGGAATGCAGCTCAGTGGCACTACCTGCTTGGCAAGTGCAAGGTCCTGAGTTTGACTCCCATACTGAAAAAACATAAAAAAGCCAAGTTGGATCCGGCTGTGGGCTGGGTATCAAGTTCAGGGCCTTACACTTGCTAGACAAGTGCTCTCTACCCCTGAGCTACACCCCCAGCCTGTGGTATGTTCTTAAAAATTCATTCATTCCGCAAGTTTTTATCGAGTACCTGGACTGTGCCAAGACTTTCTCAGGTTGTGAGGCCAGGTTAGCAGAGTTCTAGAGGAGCTGGCTTATTGGTAGAGAGCAGAAGCCGTGAGGTGAACCTGAAATCTGCACAATATGCTAAATAAGCGCTTTGGAAAAAACCCTATGGTGAAACAAGATGGTGGAGTAATCGTGAAGGTCAAAGAGTGAAGAGTGGAGAACAGGAAGTTCTGTAGGCAAACCGGAGCTGTCTCTACAGACAGAACCCCTGGCTAAGGGGGTATGGACAGACAGTGCAGTACTTTTGGGGGGAGGGTACTGGGGATCCAACTACAGTCCTTGCGCTTGCGAGGCAGGCGCGGCACCACTGAGCTACATCCCCAGCTCTCGTGCTGTACTTGAATCATCTAACAGGTCCATAACCCGGCCAGTGTGTGTCCTTAACACAACGAGCAGACTGAGTTTGCCCGAGAAGCTTGGCTGAACCTTGAGCAGCCTCATTTTTCACGTCTGTAAAGAGCAGGGTGTGTGTAAACAGTGCTACCAACTCCAGTTGTCGTGAGACGCTCAGAACAATGGCTCACAGTACTGTGTTCAAATCACTGTTGGTAACACAGCTGCTACTGCTACTCACTGAAGAGAAAGGGAACGGAGCAATGTGAAGAGCCCTCATCTCAATACCAGTCCTCAGAGGCAGTTTTTGGTCTCCAGGATGGCGTAAGATGTAAAGTGTCCCCTTCATTTGATGTTACAAGCATTTTTCCCAGTGACAATAGCTGTTCTCTAAAATTACTGTGTATGATTTTAGAGGGTGAGGATGTAGCTCAGTGGTACTGTGGACCTGAGTTCAATCTCCTGCACCAAAAAATTTAAATTGCATTACATTTTTCTTATTCCTGGTTATATATATTTCTGGTTTTTCTTTTTTCTTTTTTTTTTTTGGTTCCGGTAACCGAACTCCGGACCTTGCACTTTTGAGGCAGGCAGCAGAACCACTGAGCCGAATCCCCGGCCCTTAAAAACTTATTTTTAATTGCAAAAATTGTTTCTATGTAGCTATTTTTAAATTTTAATTTAATTTAATTTATTTTTTTGGTACCAGGGATTGAACTTGGGTCCTCGGGCTTTTGAAGCAGGCTGCAGAACCACAGAGCTAAATCCCTGGCCTTCTTTGCAGCTATCTAATTATAGATTTTTGCTTAACAATATAAATGCAAAATAAGGTAGCTCTCTCACTGAAAGGAGAACTTGTAGGATCAATAGGCCCTGTAGTGTAGTAAGCAGTCAACGTGGGGTAATGCCAATACCTTGGACGAGTGCCCACCTGTAGTGGGTGTTGTTGTGCTGAGGATTCAACCCAGGGATTTGTGCGTGCCGTGGAAGAGCTCTACCGCCGACTGTGCCCCAGCTCGCCCTTTGTTTTTTATCTTGTTTTTGTTTTTTGAGACTGGGACTCACTATGTAGCCCAAGCCGGCCTCAAACTCGTGGCAGTCCCGCTGCTTCAGCCACCGAGGGCTGGGACTATAGGCGTGTGCCCCCATACCTGGCTTTCCCTTCATTTCTTTTTGTTGTTGTTGTTTTTACTTTTTAGTACCAGGGATCAAATTCAGGACCTTGCCCTTGCAAGGCAGGTGACAGGGGCAGCACTGAGCTAAATGCCCAGCACCCTTCCTTTATTTTTAACCTACGATGATCCTGGATCAGCTAGCATTTCTGTCTAAATGTTCCCCACCTGTAAACCCTCCCCAGTAAACCCTTCTCAGCTTCCCCGAGTGTATCATGCTCTGCCCTTCATCTATGCCTCATTTCGGCAAGCATCTTTGGAATATGTTAGGGTACAGGGCGCTGAGCCAGGTGCTCTGTCTTTCATGGAGTAGAGAGGGACACGCGATGAATCAAGTCACCGCACCCGCTGACATGGGCGCTGCAAGTGCTCAGAGGGTCAGTGCAGGAGGGGTTTGAGAAGTCCTCAAGAGGCAGCTTGGAGACCAAGGTTGGTGAAGGGTGAATCCAGGACACAGTAGTTGCAGCCTGGGTGTGTGCCAGGGCTACAGAAGAGAGAACGAAATCTGGTCGTGGGTGGGGGACCTTAAGTGCTAGTTTGGACTTTGTCCTCTTTGCAGTAGAATGTCCTTGGAAGCTTTCTTCCTTTTTCTTTTTTTTTGGTGCTGGGGAATCAAACTCAGGACCTTGTGCTTGCCAGGCAGGCGTGGTACCACTGAGCTACATCCCTGCTTCCTTTTTCTTTTAAAGAAGTAGCTTTAATTATTTTCTGGTTATAAAGTTAATACTGGTGTTTCCCTAATTCTCAATAGTTTACATAACATAAAAGGAGCAGGTCCCATGTTAGAGAGGCACTCTTCCTCCTTTATGTTTACGTTTTGCAGTTCTCTCTACTCCTATGGGCATCCACAGAGCCCTGTAAAGCATTCAGTGCAGATGAGATCGGACCCCACGTCATTGCCTGGCCCTCCTAACCCTCACTGACTGTTCTGCCCGATGCTGGGGTGGCCTTGGAGCCGTGATGAAGGTGATGGAGCAGGGCCGAGAGATGAATGCCAGAGATATTTCAG